GAGGTAGCGTTGACGGGCGTCACTGCGTCACCGTCAATCAGCAGACACCGCTCTTTCACCACGAGGTGAAGCTTTACGGGGACCCTAAATCCAGGGATAAAAATGAAAAGCGTGTGGGTGGTGCCTGTGGGCAGCGCTGGTGGAGGACCTGAGGGGGGGCACCTTGGGGACACAGTAAAGACCTGACAACCCGGTCCCTACGCTGCTGTCACCGTGGCAGCTGGAGCCCAGCCCGGTGATGCGTTCTCAGCGCCGGACCTCAAGCCAGCCCCCCTGCAAGCCTGCCTTTCTCATCTAAGAAGCCCAGTGAAGGACACACACCTTCTAGACCCAAAGCTTTCTGCTCCTCGGGTGGCTCCGGCCTCACACAGGAGGCGCACGGCCCCAGGCCCTTCCCTCTGCACATCACCACTGAAGCACTGCTCCGTAGCCCCACCTTTCTGGCCTGGTGCCCTTCTGGTCCCTGCCAATTATGTCGCTGTGGGAACCTCAGCAAAACCCTCCCATTCCGGCCCCATCACACGGCACCCCCTCCTTTGCCTGCCCCACGCTGATGGCTCCATCCATCACGCTTTCTTCAAATGTCTCCCTAAAGCCTGCGGGTAGAATTCACGGCTCCTGTCTCCCGGCTGTCATCCCTCTGTTTATACTGTAAATACTGCTCTTTCCACCCCAAATACAGCCACCTAGACCCACCTCTCCCCTGCCTGGGGATCGGAGAGCAGAGACTGAAATCCTTCACCCCCCCACGAGGTGCCCAGGGCACTCGGCACAGACGGGCATCTGATAAGGGCCGGAGAACGGAAGTGACTAACATCCCCGCTGGGCTGTTTTACAAAATGCAAAGCTGACGGGGTTGAAAAGACAAGGAAGTGGAAGCCCATCTCCTCACCAGCAGAGTTTCTGGGTGAGAAAACATAACTAAGGTGAAGTTCTGGGTCTTGAAAAACAGACGTTTCACCCTCCTGATCCCTGGGGACCCATTTCTTGACGGGGGAGCCACAGTGCCTCACGTCTTTGAGCCCCAAGGCTCCTCAAACTTTGGAATCAGGAGATCCCTTCCAATGATGGGAGCTTCAGGCTGGACACTGCTTTGTCAGCAATAAAACCACATAAACATTTTAACGCTGCAGAATGCTTCAAGTACAGGGAGACCACGATGGCCTGGATATGTTTCAATTAAGCATAAAACATCTTGCACATTTCAGACTCTGGAGCACGGGGGACCTCCCAGGCCACCAGACACACGGGTCGTGTCACAGACTGACACACTGGAAATGGGACTGGCTCTCCCTGGAGGCACTCAGCTCACTTTGACATAAGTGCCAGCAACCCTTTCTCTCCTCCCAGTACTTCTGCAAAGAAGGTGTTGGTTGAATTTAACACTTTGTATTTTTGCACACAAATCTGCATGTTTAAATTCGGCCCTTTAAAGTTTTGTTTTCACTCTCAGCCAAAACTTGACTGTTGGCGCTACCAGCTAGCTGTCACACGCCCAGGCCCCTGAAACGTAGTGTCACACCTGGAACGCACACGGGGCTCGGAGGGTCCCTGCAGTCACGGAGACCCTCAGGCTGGGGCACCGCTCTCCCTCCCCGCTGACCCCAGTGCATGACCTCCATGACCTCTGAACTCACCCTAAAGCCACCAGGCGCCCAATAAGCAAGGGAAACGCCTCGGAACACGTGTCAGGATTTTGCCACATCAGTAATGATAGGCTGACATTTCTCACGCTCGAGTAATCTGGGGAGATGCAGGTGAAATCAGCGCTGTCCCCAGCATGATTTCTTGGGGTTTTCTTCCTGCTCTTGGGCACCTGGAGGGCCCTGGTGGGGGTACAGAGAGGCCCATGGCATGCGGGGTTCAGCAAACCCACTGAACCACAAGGATCGTTTGAGTGCATCCTCGAGAACAAATGTCCCTCTGGATACACACCTGGGGAAGACTCCCCGAAGCTCTTTTTGGTTCCTGCGGCTCTGAGCCCAAAGGTAGAAGCAAGAGGAGAAGGGTCTGGGCCTGCACCACGCTGGCCACGTGGCATGTCCTTGTCACACACTGCTCCACGTGAACCTCGGGGTGAACCACATTTGGCTCCACGATCCACATGAGGCCCGGGAGGGCGGCCGGGTCGGCAACGGTGTCTCCTTCCCAGGTCTGACCCCAGGAAAAGGACAGTGGCGCTCTGTGGGCCCTGGGCCGTGCCTCTGCCCAGGCTGGGGGCCCCGAGGCCGACACGGAGGGGAGGCAGGAGACGGAAGCGCAGGGGCGCCCCCCCCGCCTGAACCCCACAGGTGTTTCCTGCGCTCCCCGCTGCTGCGAGCTACAGACGCAAGCAGCCCGGTCTCAACATCTCGCTTTTTAATAAACGGTTGTGAAAAAAGAATCCCACCTGCATCTGGAGCGCCCGGCCACCCCTCTCTGAGAAAACAGGGTCATTTTCCTCTTCACGGTCCCTGACTTAAATTAAGCGCTTGATCTGAACTGGCCATGCTTTACTTTTACTCCGATCCTCTAGAAATAGAAACCCAAACAAGGGCGACAGTAAACGAAAGGCTGCGTGAAGCCAGGCGGGGAAAGGACAAGTCCTGGTCTCGAGAGGCCACCCCTCCCCCGCGACAGCTCAGAGGGGACAGCGGGGAGTCAGCTCGCCCACAGGCACGTGAGGGAAAAGCCGGGCCGGCCTCCTAGTAAATCTAAGTGCAGCAAGTGTCGGATTACTGACCTGCGTTCTGCTGGGCTAACTCGTAAATCGAAGTTAGTAAGTGTCGGTTTGCTGATTCCCTGCTCATGTTTATTTTGCAAGCCAGCTGGATTCTCGAAGAGACGTATCTGGCCTTGAAATGCTGGTTTGCTGCCTCCCGGCCTCCACTTTTGTGATGATGCTGCTGCTAAAGCTGTTCCATGCCTACTGGCCGAACACCCCAAGCTTGGACTTTACCCTATAAAACCTCATGCGCACGTCTTGGAGGTGCTCAGAGCTTCGGAGCAGAAGCCCCTCTGAGCCCGCCGGCGTAATACATCTGAGTACTCCAACCCTCCGAGTGGTGCTTGCTTCTTCCTGGCCTGTCACTTCCGTAACAGGCACACCTGTGGAAGGGAATCCATCCGCCTGGTTCACTGCAGGGAAACTTCCCTTCAGGCACGAAGGAGGCACTTTTGCACAATGGGAATTGTTTAATCCCGCCCCACATGCTAGACCATCCCGGCTCATCCTCTAGAACTGAGAAGCCCCACTGTGTGCACAGCGGCAGGCTCACCCGCCCACCACCCCTGGGGCTCTGTCCCTCCCATCCTTCCCCACCTCAGAAAATGCCCAAAGCCATGTCCTGTGCAGAGATCAAGCTGCTCTCCTGGGGCTTTAATGAGGCGCATTTCCTGGCTGCCAAGCCCGCTGCTGAGGCTGACCCAGCAGCCTTGACTGAGTATCTGTCATGGGTCCTGCAGTGAACCAGGTGTTTGGGGGACAGAATTCTGCCCTCGGAAAGCCGGAGTCTAGCATAAAGGGAGATGCAGACTTAAATGCCTGCAAAGCTCTGTCTCCTTATCTGATAAATGCAGATGAGGGTATGGGACGTGCCCACGTCCCAAGGAGACCAGGAGACAAGTAGAAAAAGGTTGCAAAGTTTGGGCAGGAAGGAAGAAGTCTCTGAAAATCAGGAGGAGACTGTCGGGGCACAGAACCTAATCAGACTCTGAACAACACACAGACAGGTCATCCAGATGGTCCATTTATAACAACACTTCTATTCAGGAACAACTCTTTGAGTTTTTTATAGTTTGTGGAAAGTATTTTTTCCTGGACTTTTTTTGTATTCTTTGAATAGGAAGAAAAATCAAGTAAAACTAAATGAGACAACCTTAAAATAAATCCTATACTCCCATTTTTTTTTTCTGATGGGTAAAATGTTGGGTCTGAGTTAGGCCTGATGCAAACAGAAGTCCCTCCCTGTACGCATGGAGAGCAGGTCATTTGGCCCCAGACAAATTCAAACATGATTTCAAGATGCATATTTTCCAGTTTAGCACCAAACCAGTGAACGCTAACATGGACTACAGGACAGTATGCGGTTAACACTCAGCCGTAATCGTTCAACTGAATTTAAAGTGAGTTGTTTCTAAGATAGGCATTACCATATACAAAACAGATAAACAATAAGGACCTACTGTGTCGCACAGAGAACTATATTCAATCTCTTATAATAATATATAATGGAAAAGAATCTGAAAATTGTGTGTGTGTGTATATATATATGCATATATACGTATAACTGAATAACTTTACTGTACACTTGAAACTAACATTGTAAATCAACTACACTTCAATAAAAAATAAAATTAAAAAAAATAAATAAGGAGGGTGAGGGTGTAGCTCAGTGGTAGAGTGCCCAGCATACTGAGGTCCTGCATTCAATCCCTCATACTTCCACTAAAACAAAAATGAATAATATAATTACCTCCCCCCAAAAAAGATAAATAATAAATAAAAATTAAAAATAAAATTGTTGCACAGAACAGTTAAAAATAAATAAATAAATAATAAAAATTAAAAATACACCACAACAGGAAACTATATTCAATTTCTTGTAATAACAGACAATGGAAAAGAATATTAAAAAATGCATGTAAATGTATAACTGAATTGCTTTGCTGCACACCTGCAACAAACATTGTAAATCAAGTATACTTCAATAAAAAGAATTTTTTAAATAAGTAAAATAAAAATCATCTTCCCCTAAAACGTGAGTTCTAAACTACGTTACTAACTTCCAAAATTCTGTTTAACTGATTACTTTTGCACCAAGAGCACCTGCAACAGAACCTGCCTGGGGAGCCTGACTGGCAAAGAGAATCCCTCCCATTACTGCGTACACGCATCACAAAGGGGCGCCCTCTCCAGGCAAGAGGGCGGGCGGAGGGTTGCGTGGTGTTGCCAAACGTGGCCGACCGCAAAGGGCTCATCCCGAAATCAGTTTAAACCGATGTTTTTCTCCAAGACCCACCAGGGTACAGAAGACGCACTGGCACTGGGCTATGGTCGTCATCTGCTCCACCGGGTACTCCCCGAGACACAGCTTGCAGGACACCAGCGGGTCGAGGGCCAGGTCCCACGTGGGCCGGTACCGCGCTGTGGTCATGGCAGAGCAGTCTGAAACGAGAGCAGCACAGGCCGTCAGCCCCCTCGTGGCCTCCACCACCACCCCGGCGGGGATCACCTCCGGCTGAAACTGGGGCCCTGGGGGAGGCCAAGTGACCCCCGAGGGGCCGGGGTCTTACGGTCCTCATCTGGATCCCCTGAGAAGTTCTGGCCAGAGGTCTCCGACCTGGGTCTGTGGGTGATGCCTTTCCCACACGGATGGTAATATTCATGTTCACACTCAGAATGGCCAGTAATCCACCGTCTACATCCTTCCCTCCACCCCTGTGATGGGGACGTGGAAGACGCCTCCCACCCACCGCGCACCCAGCTCGGGAACCTCAGCAACCCAGCAAGAGAAGCTTCTGTTAAAACAGTTACTGATCAGATCAAACTGGGGGCGGGGAGAGTACCTGCCACTCAGGAAGAGACTGTGCGGTGATTCTGAGAACACACAGAGGAGGGAAGACAGGATGACATGTGACCTAGGCATGTGAGTGGTGTGAGGGGGAGAACCGGACCTATCAGAGCTCACGCCAGGGAGGGAGTTATTGAATTTCAGCTGGAATCGACACTGGGGTGAAGGAAGGGAAGCTGCGTTCGGGGCTGGGGCTGGGGCTGGGGGGTGAATCCAGCCCCCTCCCCGGCCAGTTAATGACTGAGCAACTTAGCCTAAAGCAAGTGCACTTTCTGCTGTTAGAAAACAACTGACACAAATTCAAGCAATTTTTGGATCGGTCGGAGCCTTCCAGACAATTTAAACAAGCACCATAAACTGACCTGAAGCCAAAGGGAACAGAACACTTCAGTGATTCGGGGGGTCACTCAGCGATCTGGGGTGCAGTGGAATCGACACTTCTCACCTCCCTGAGTCCATTTTCATTTGGAACACCTCCCTGCACCATGAATTCACCTTTATTATTATTATTCTAAATCTCTGCAGGGTTTTCTGGATCCTGGGCTCACGGGCCAAGACTTTTTTCCTTTATATTTCTCTGTACCTTTTTCTGTTTTAATCCTTAATAGCTCTTCAAGCTCACAGTACAGGGTGCTGACTGTGTTTTGATTAAGAATGGTAGCTAGGCCTCACAGGGATCACAAACCTTTACTGGAAGCATTGAGAAATCGCTTAAGGTTGGAAACGGCCCCAGGTGGGCAGAGGCTGCTCGACTGACCTCTCCGACCCGGAGAGCTGGGACCAGCGGCCGCGAGCACTGCCCGGAAAGCCTGTGCTCCAGACGCCGCGGGGCACCAAGCAGCAGAGGCCACGTTCTGTCACCAGCAGACCTGAGTTCAAACTCCCGTTCTCCCTCTTGGCCGTGTGATGCTGGAGAAATTACTCAGCCTCTATGAACTTGAGTATTTTCCGCTGTAAAACTTAGGCACCATGGCCTCCCATGGGCCCTTGTGAAATATGAGTGAGAAATAACATATTTAAAATCACCGGGCCATACTAGTTGCTTGGTAAGTAGAGGTCGTTATAATACGTCGGGTTTAAGAACCTGGACATTAACCCACATAGAGAGGGAAGAAAGAGAGGGGGAAAAGACAGGTGAAAAGTTGCTGAGCCCAGAGACGACGTGATGGATTCAGTCTCCTAGGAAATGCGCACCGACGGCCGTTATCTTTGGAAGAAGCAAACACCAAAACCTCAGAGGCCTCCTGCTTCATCATCCGCTGGGCAGTGCGCTCAGAGGCTGGGCATCACCCCAGACGTGCTGCAGAGTGGCAGAAGTCTGGGCTCGCCCCTTCAACACAGTCCTTGAAGCCTGAGCCCTGCCCTCACTGTCAGCTCCGGGCAGGGGACATCACCCCTCGCTCTTCTGCCCCCTCAGCCACTTCCTGCCTCTCACCTGGACCCCAGGCAATCCTCCCTCCTCCAGCTTCTAAGCTTGGCTCCCTTTCCTGTTTACAGCCTCTCCAAAGGCATGACCCTCGGCTCAGCCTGCAGGGCCTGACCTCTTGCTTCCTTTCTTCCTGGACCGTGATTTCCATTTGACTTCGAGACAGCGCTGCTTCCCGCTGGCCTGGGCGCAGGTCAGCCTCGGCCCCTCACCTCCCAGCCCCGTGAGCGAGCCTTGAAGCAGGTCAGACACGACTTCCTGGCATTTGTCAGTACTCTTCCTCTGCAGAGCAGACATTCTCGGAGGTGAGCTCACAGTCAGGATTCAGCGGTAAAAACAATAGGAGATACTTTACACAGTGCACATTGTCTAAGCCCACCACGACCTTCCCTACTCACAGGATGGGCCGGTTATGATTTTGCAAACACTGAGCAGCTGCAAACTTGAAATAGGAATTTGCTATGAGAATCACAATGCACAATAAGGGGGAAAAAACTGTCTATGTTTTCCTAACGTGAATGTCAAGTCAAATGAAACAGCAAACTATTTTAAGAACATCTGGTCAATGATAAGTATTATTCAATCTAGGCAACTCAAAATGTTTACAAGGCAAGTTACTTATTAAGCACGACCGGGTTATGCAAAGAGGGGGAACTGTGATGAAAGAGGTTTACAAGGATGAGAAAGAGCTGGAAGGGAAAGGAGTCCACTGAGGGAGATATTCTTAAGGGTGAGATGCGGTTGTCTAGCCAGAACCATCCCACCCCTGGGCCCTAGGGCTGTGCCTCCTGCAGGTCCCTATTCGCCACCTTCACCCCTTCAGAGCGAAGCAGGGAAGGGAAACCCAGCCAGGTGTCAGCCAGTCACCGCCCCCTTCCACTCTCAGGACTTCCCCCAACAAGCCCCTGCTGTCCCAAAAGGGCCAGGGCATGCCCGTGGGCCCTCCCCAGCCCAGCCCCCTCCCCTTGCTCCCCTCTTCTCCAAACCCTCCCGACCCGCCACTCCCAGCATCGTCCCAGTTTCTCCAAAACTCAACTCTCACCCCTTTCTTGGAGTCTCTGCTGCCTCCCCCAGAGGAGGCGATGCCTGCAGCTCAGTGGTAAAAACAACTGCTTTCAGCAGCTAGACTCCCAGGTGTTCACCCACCAATGTGACCCCTGCACGTGGGTGCGCATGGCAGCGTTATTCATGATCGCCAGAACACAGCAGCAGCCGAGACGTCCTTCAACAAGGAAATGGAAAAATAACCCGTGTTACATGCAGACCACAGAGTACCTTTCAGGGCTACAAAGAAATGAGCTATCAAGCCACGAAGAGACACAGAGGAATCTTCAGCACGTGTTACCAAGTGCAAGAAGCCAATCTGCAAGCAGCCAGACTGTGGGATTAAACCTCTGTGACATTCTGGAAAAGGCAAATTTAGGGAGACAGTAAGAAGATCAGTGGTCGCCGGACGGGGAGAAAAAGATAGACAGGCCTAGCACAGGGGAGACTTTAGGTCAGAGAAACCCATCAGCGTGAGGTTGTCACGGTGGAGGCGTGACATCAGACGTTTGCCAAAACCACAGAATGTACAGCACCAAGAGCGGACCCCAGGGCAGATGGCGCGGACAGCACTGTGTGCCCCTCCGAAGTCCACACGTTACAGCCCACCCTCGAGGTAACTGCATGTCCTGGCGAGGCGATTAAGGTCAGATGAGGTCCTAGGGGTGGGGCTGTGACCTTTTAAAAGAGGAAGATCTCAGTGTCTCTCTGCTACACGGGAGGATTAGGGTAGAAGACAGTCACCTATCAGCCACAATGACAGTCCTTACCGGAGCCTGAGGAGAACCCAACCCTGCGGGCACCCTGATCTCGGGCTTCTGGCCTCTAGAATTGTGGGAAAATAAAATTCTGTGCTTCAGTGCCCAGCCTGTGGCATGTCGTTATGGCCACCCGGCAATGCAGCGAACTACGGCTCCAAGTGAGGGCGATGCGTCAAGGCAGGGTCATCGAGGTGACAGACGCTCCCTGGCGGGGGGCGGGGGTCAGGTGGGGGTGGGGACTGGCCTG